AATTTCTAAGTTAACTTTCAAATAAAATGAATACCTAAAGAGTATGTGTATGAATTAACGTAAAACGTAGTGACGTTAAAACAGAAACGCTCAAACAAACTTTTACATCGAGGCCAATGACTCAAGCAAATATGATATTTTAACTAAAAGTCAATAAGTTAAAGACAAATATCTTGAAAAAATAACGATTTACGAAAGGCTATCGTTACTGACCAGCAAACGTTCATGGCGAGGGCGATTATTACAATCCCTCCTTGTTTGTGTAGCGGAACATTTTGGTTGTCTCTTGATCTTTATAAGTGGTAAAAATGTAACCATTCGATGATATTGAAGTTGTTCGTTCTTTATCTCTCGGGACAAATGTACCACTCATTAGTTGAGTTAGGGGCTTGTGATTACTCGCCAAGGTTACAGTTTGTGCGATGCGCCATTTTGAACAGTTTATAACATCTGTGAACTTATAGTACAGCACCAGCACACAAAACCCTTGCTGTTTTATCTAGTGGATATTGTGAAAAACATTCACAGACTTTATCTGTCTAGTGACCTAACTTAAGTATTATCTTACCTGAAAACCTATGTTTTAAGTTATTGATCATGCTTGTAGAAATGGCATGACCTGCTATATAATGTTATTAACTATATCATTATTCGTACTCTTATATACTCAAATATACCTAACCGATTCTGTGTCACTATGTATCAATCTCATTTAATAACTTACAGCAGTAATTCCTGTAATATTTGCAACATCTTGATCTTCCCTGTAAACTCGAACACGCCTTCTATGAAATATAAATCTGTGGAAATAAGCTACCATTATTCTGTACAAACTATATAAATGCCTTTCGAGAAGCTAATCAATGAGCGAATATCGAATTTCTGTGACGTATCGCTTCCAGTATAGTATGATTCAGTCCTACTGAAGTAATGGTAATTGAACGGAGGGACTTTAACCTAATCAAATAATGTGCAATCATTGTCTGTGTGCTTAGATTCTTAAGACTGTGGTTAGGGTTACAGCATCTCCTTCTGGTCCCCACACCGGAATTTAGATGTTCACTTTAGTCACGACTTTACTGATGGAGACTACCTTTGATGTGACTGTGTCATTAAATCTTTTACTGCTAAACAGTGTTACCATTCTTTATGGTTTCTGAGTTAGTGAATCATAAACTTTACCTCATGGTAGTCAAGAAGCCTGTAGCAAAGTAGCTTGGATTACAACTGGTGGGTTGATAAATTAGACCTTGTTGCAGTTTAACAGTTGAGCTAATGGTAACCAATGTGGTTCTAAAAATGGGCTTCAGAACTGGTATACTTTACTGCATCATACGATCTGCGTCATAAAAATTCAGGCAACACAATGAACGAGTCCAAAAGTCAGGAAAGAATAGAATCTCTATATTATACTTGTAATCCTACGGAATAATGTTAGATATGAACGAACAAGGGAAAGAGACGGTTTCTAGCCATTCATTCAGATCGCTTGGTGGCAAATAGGAAAACAAGGTAAGAATAGTGCCGAAGGACTAACGTAGTTTCCTATTTTCTGTTCTCAAAGAGCAAGTCTACTCTGGCTTTGTTACACTGATTACAATTCACTTCATTTCAATAGGGGAACTGAAAAGTGGCAGTTTGAAGTCATGTTGGATAGTATTTTGGCTGTAAGTAGGATGTATGATAAAGTTGTATTAAAATAGGAAGACGCTAGGCTCCTGAACGAGCACATAGTCGGAGACAGAGTTCAGGTAGTTCCAGATACTTATTATCTTGTCACTCAGTACTCCATATGGATCAGTATGAAATTCTGAAATCTTCAATTCTAGTTATTTTAAAAGATTATTTCTATTTTCGCCAATGCAAAATTGAAGATTTACACAATAATCACCAATCCGTCCGCCGTTTTGAGGTTCTAGGTCGTTCGCCACGCATTCTCCTTGACATCATAGATTAATCCTTGTTTACTAGTTAATTGTTTAGAATAATTGATTCCGTTTTTATCTTAGTACAAAAGTCAACACCTATATTAGTCTTCTCAGTCCTATAAGCTCCATATATTTCAAGAAACTACTTATTCGTAAAATGATTAATATATTATAGTAAATCTTAAGACACTTCCACTTAAGACTACACATACATGTACGCAATGTAGCGTTAGAAATGTAGTTTACAATCTATTTATAATGATAGAAAGTGGGAAACATTAGTTACTGATGAGTCAGGTGTGAATTTCCTTACTAATGTTCTCTCGTAATTTTTATAAACAGACGAAGTGTATAAAAAAACTGCAGCACTGTTGTTCAATTAAATGCATTTTACACTTTTCCTACGTCTAGGTTGATTAATCTCGTGTACATACAAACAATGGTTTTTAATGTGACCGAAAAACTATCTTGATCTAACATCAACTAGTTATTTGTTTTATATTTTTATGGCACACCAGCATCATTCTTGCAAGATGGCCCAAGGAGTTGCTGATACATCAAGCATTGTAAGGGAGTGTATTTTCTTAAACGTTGACCACAGCAGGTTTGTATACCGTTTGTCCCTTCAAAATTTGCTACTTATTCACATGACTGGTTTTTAAGCAGTGCTTACTCTTAACTTGGTTCAAGCTCCTAGGATCTCTCACTGCGAGGGACGACATATTGCGTCATATGAACGCGTCTCTGATGGGAAAGCGAATGCGTTTTGTCTATTCTAGGGTCCTTCCAGGCTATAATAAAGAGCATTACACTACTGTGACCTTAATGTCTATTGAATGGTCTCTAAAAGAAATGCTAGTATCGCCATGTTTGCAAAACGTTTTAAACTCGTACCCGTTTAGAACCATAAATGTTTAAATACTAGCTTTTTATTTATTTGAACACAAATATTGGTATAAGGGGGCACCAAATACGTGGGCGCCACACAATAACAATGAGACCAGTAACAATAATCATTGATTTGTGTGAGGGCTGTGATACTGCCCAGGTGCCCAAACTAAAGCAGGTGGTTTCCTTAGGAGGCTACACCCCGAACATTTGACCTAAAGGTTTAATCCACAAGGCAGTGGAGCATCGTGAGGAGATGCATTCCCATGGTAGCTGGTGGCCAACAATGAGCTCATATGCCACTTGTTCCCTCAGGATCCTGGAGCCCATGTGCACCATTCGTTTGGAATCAGAGTTTTCCAACTCCCTAGGTGGATCCTTCACATCCACCAACCCGGTTAAAGCGCCGGACATTCGCTTTTCGTCCCGTCAATTTTGTAAACAACATCCCCGCAGCGGGAAGGTAGTGAGTAGGACTTCCCTGGCGCTGGCTGTACACTAGTGATGACTTGAAATTTTAGGTAGGCTGTAGATGCGTTATGGTCTCTGAGCTATTAAAGCTAATCCTCATCAGCTTACTTGGCTTATGATACATTTCTCTCCAACCTCCAGGTTTTGATATTCAATTAATACGCCTTCTGGAACACTTATAAAGCTTTACAAAATCCAAACTACTGCCTGTACTTTAACTCTCATAATTCATCTGTAAAACTCTAAAATCCAAGTAAACACGGCATAGAACTTTGAAAAAGTATGGTGCGACAACAGCGACATCAACTTAAAAGGCAAAACTTGGAAGTAATATGCCTTTGCAATTTATGGATTCATATCACGTAGTCTTTAATCATTGACAACAGTTACTATGACAATATCAACTTTGTATATTCTTTCATATGACTTGGATCAGTTGGTGACGTATTTTAACCTTACCAACTGCAGCCGTCTCCGACCCACTTTTACGTCAGCCAATATAGTTCACAAGTGTAGTCGATGGTTGTTGCATTTCGTCTCAGACCACTGTCTGAGCAAGCTGGATTATGTGATAGTTGGCTATTCAGTTTTAAGCTCTTGATCCACAATCATTAGTCTATGAATGTACTTTTGTGGTCTTTGTGACTTTCGAACCCTAGTGTATTAGTACCTAATGAAATTCAGACATGGTTTAAGAAAGCCCGTTTGGTTTTTGCCAGCTTGCATCACCTAGACGTGAGATTCCCGTTCAATGACTAAAGGTTGAGTATACTGGAGATCACTTTGTTCTGTTCGACTTTGTCATATATATGTATATACTTACCTTCAAAGCTTTTCTAGGGTATGCTGGAAATTTCAAGTGAGCAGCAATAAGGTTGGACTCTGGGTATTAGGTAATCATTGATAAAGTAGCGAATCTCTATCGATTGAGGTAATTGGGACATGATTTATGTATGCCCGACCACTACCTATTTAGGCACGTGATGTTTGGTGGTGTTGCAGTAGGATGAAAGCTAGGAGCAGCCAAATCAAGATAAGTCATCATTCCACGAAGTCATTGACCGTTGGTAAATGCAGGGCACTTGGTTGGAGAGATCTCAATGATTGCAAACAATGTCTGGATATGATAAGTGAAATGACCCAGAATCGATCACTTCAACACAGATTCACTCACTGTCTTCCCGTGGATCTTCCTTTTCGAAATTATCTCAAGCTTTTCGCCTTGCTAATTCAGCGTTTCGTCTTGAATCATATTTTTTATGCCTAAACATTCATACCATCACTGACCCTATTAATGCTCCTACTATGGAATTTGTCTTGATAATTTAATCTCGCTGTGCCGATGTTGTGACGCAACTGGAACCGATGCAAATATGTGATGCATTCTACATTTTTTGTGAGTGATTTTTCACTAGTATGAAAGCAGTATTTCTTAACATACCAGACCAGAATTAACTATTGCACTTCATTACTTTGGAAAGTAATGTACAATACCTGCTGTTTTTTCCTCTATCAATTATTTAAAGTTTGGCTGCCATATAAGTCTCTCATTTTGTGCTCTAATTCACCAGTCATCTTTTTCTGTTGCTAAATACTTTTCATTTTTCCTCAGCTCCTAAAACATGATCTATAGTGTTTGATTTTCGAATGCAGTGAATCCTTAGTATTTATATTATTAACAAATGTATAAATATTGTACTTACAAGTAGAAACATGTATTACTTAAATTGCCTCAACCTTCTGCCCACATACAACGTATTCAAGTGGCTTAATGAACCAAGTTATGTTTGGAAGATAGTTTTCCTTTGTTGTTTAGCCAACTTCATTAACGCAGCCGATCGAGTTATCATGCCTATTGTTATAATTCCCATATCGAATCATTTTGGTTGGAATCTTCACCAATACGGATTAGTTCTCAGTTCGTTTTCTGTAGGCTATCTTGGAAGTATGGTAAGTACTATCAGTTCTTTGCTCTCAATTTAAACTAGTTTATAGGTGAAAGAGCAGCAAGACGATATGGTGGAGGTCTGATTCTTAGTTTTGCTGTCGTATTCTGGTCATTATCATCCCTCCTCACTCCATTCTTTGCCCATTCTATTCACTCTCTGATAACTGTGCGTGTACTACTTGGCTTAAGAGAAGGAATAGGTAAGAAAGATATTTTGTTGATCTAAAATTAACAATCGTAATCAGAACTCAAATATAAACGAAAATGTGATTGTTCAAAGGTCTGAGTAATATTCTATAGCTTGATGTATTTGATTTGGATAAATCAGTCACGAAAGGATTAATTGACTAAATCATTAATTATAAACTGTCATTCCTTGTATTCTATCCACAAGGCAGACCTATTAGCGTCAGGCAGAGTTATGCACACTCCCGGTCTCATTCTGTTAAAAGATTCCTTATGGTATGTAAAAGTATTGTAGTTTCCATCATTTCGGAATATACTTTTTAAGGATAAGTGATTCGAAATTTCTATCTCAGGATAGCGTTTTCGACGTCATGTTTATGCACAACTCAATAATATGGCATTGTAGGATACATTTGATTCCTAAAAATTTCTTACTACTTTCACCATATACCAATCTTCAGCTAGACAAAAGAGATACATAAAAAACACTAAATTATATTGTGCTTTAAAGTGAGATTACCTACCCAAAATGAGTGTTGGCACAAAATATTTCAAAGCCAGACGTTCGATATTTTGTGTTATAATCCTACCTGGAATTGTATACCCGTCAGTCTTAACTATTATTAGTGGTTGCTTTGCATGTCAATTACCTGTTATTAAAAGAAAAACCTTTCTAGACCTTACTTGATATGCCTTCGTAGCAAATCGGCCTCATCATCAAAAGTGAATCGTTTCCTATCCACCTTAATCAAAAGCTCAGTTATTGCAATATATTGATATGTAATATATGTTTACTTAGTAATGTCCCTTATAGTCACAATATTTGTTTTTCATCATTTAATATAGGTCTTCCTACGGTATTCCACATATTTTCTTATATTGTACCTGTTGAAGAACGCAGTCGATCTTTCAGTTATATGGTCACATTTGGTGTTGTTGGTCAAACGGTAGCTACCTTGGTTTGCCCTCATTTAGTTTGGTCCCACTCGTTTTTCATATTTGGTTTTATTGGTCTTGTGTGGATTTGTTTCTGGATCCCTGTCTTTAACATTATTAAAAGAGCTGAGTCACGAAATGAATTGCCTACTCAACAGTCTCAGGTAAGCTGAGCTCCGCTATTCTTTCCCTTCTGTTATTGACTCGGAAAAGGCGCAGATTATATCATATACGTTGTCAAACTGATAAGAACCCAATAAATAAGTATATTTTCATCTATCGCTGCTAGGCTAATTCCACAGAAGACTCGTTGTCTCCAAATTGCCTCTTTTTTCTGGAAACTCGATCTATCTGTACGTCAATAATTCGTAGATGCACCTAAGGAATCTTTTTTTGTAGTTTAGACAGTTGTAAACTAGTTCGACAATAATTGGAGTCAGATAAAAAAACCTTTGTATCGTTCGTTTTTTAGCGTATTGAGGTCTTTGGGAAATAAATGTCAAGTTAATATATTTCATTAGACTTTGAATTACTAAAACTAAACATGAGTATGTGGATTTAACGGAAAAGTTTTTTTTAAGATCAAGCCCTTCAAATGCACCTAAAGTATTTAGCAAACTCAGATTCTAAATCAAAGATGAATATTCCGATAACTTTATGGTACAAACTTTTTCACAGCACCAGCTAACGTATAACTATAATTTCTCTCAAGTCAATGACTCAAAGGGATCGCTTATCACAATCAGCTATTTCATTTCACAAATAAATGTTAAAATAAAAGAAGAAATATTTATGGGAAGAAATGTTTCGCTAGTGCACAAACCTTGATTCATAGCAATCATTTCAGCCTTTGTTTCACTGACAAATAAATACTGGGAATCTAGGGGACTAACTTAATTTTCATTATTTGGGTCGGCTTTCTAAACAGCGAAGAGTTATGAGAATCATGAGTAAGATATATTCCACCATGTGGGAACCATTTTTTCCATAAATTCGTTGTCTTTTGATAATGTTTGAGGAATTTCTACTTGAGCTCACTAAAAATAGTTTTTATCTTTAGGTAACTTATGACATTCAGGATTCGCCGTGAATTTTATTCCACTCTCGAAATTCAGTCAGCTACAACGTAGGGCCAGGTACATAAATGCACCGGTCCAAGTTGCCATACCTCATTAGCACAACAAGGTGAACAAATTCATAGAAGCTGTCAATTTAATGGTGGTAATATATAAAAGAAAGATTATATATAAGGATATAGTACAGGAAGAAAGACAGATATGAAGCGATTTTAACCTCAAGGTTTACGGGAAAATAAAGAGTGTATACACATACGCCATTGTGATTGATTCTGAGCCATATCACCCAGAGTCTTCAACCATTGGTTACGATAGTCACGCGGACCCCAACCTAGTAGTCTACATCTACCAACATGGTTCAAAATAGAAGTTAGTGACTTCAAGCCCTGATGCCATGTTTTGGTTTGGCCGCCTCGAACTCTCTTCCAACCATCGCCAATACTATTTAAAAATGGTTAATTATATTTCGCGACTCAGCTAACCATATCTCGTGAATGCATGATATGTATACCTACTTATATTTAGTGTACATTTTTATTTACTGACTATATCAATATTCGAAGACATATTCAGGTATTATCTGATTACAGCTAAAAAGACGGACAGTGCACCAACTGATTTTTTAGTCGCTTCACTAGTTCTTGTTATTGGTTACCAGTTAAATTAAACAGGCATTATATGAGTCTCCACAATCGTTTAGCAGCTTTCAGTTATTAGCGAGCCTTAATTTACTCGTGAACTATTGAGTAATAAATACATCAGTGTTCTCTGTCCTGCCTAATAGCCCTTTGAAATTATTTAACTAATGTATGTTCATGGTTGAATTCACTAATCGTGAGTTTCCGTCAACTGGTATACAAGAATCATGTATTCCCTATATCTTATAATCGTTAAACCTGATGCATCTAAATTTAACGTCTTCCCAATATTTTCCACTTATAGCTTATTTATCCCCTTAATTAATTATCCTGTACTTATACAAATCTCACTTACTAACTAGTAGAGTACAGTAGCTCTACGTTTTTCCATGCTTTTCTTGTGTACAACGCAGCTACCGACCTTTATATCATTGATCTGATGTCCTGGTTTGTGTCATTAGTGTTGGTTTTGAATCCTCTTTCAATCGAAAGTTATATTTTAAAGATTGATTCTGGTTAAGGACTAACACCAATCTGGCTTTTATGCCTTGGTGATATATATATATATATATATATTTGTGAATATAACATAGAAATAGGTGTTATGACTTTCATTACGAAATTAAGACGAAAATCGAATGTCCAGCGCTTTAATGGGGCCAGTGAAAACAGTGATTCAACCTAGGGGAGTTGGAAACTCGGATTACAAACCAATGGTGCACATGGACTCCAGTACATTGAGGGAACAAATGGCGTATAAACCAATCGTTGGTCACCAGCTACCATGGGACTGCATCTCTTTACGTTGCTCAACTGCCTTGTGGGTCAGACCTTTAGGTCAAAGGCTCCGGGTGTTGCCTCCTGAGAAAACCACCTGCTTCGGTCTGGGCACCCAGGAAGTATCATACCCTTCACAAAATTGTGTGGCGCAAATATATCTGGTGCCCCTTTGTACCAATACATATATGTTAAAAAATAACAAATAAATAATCCTTAAACTAATTAACAATTTTCAATTAAATTTTAACCCCCGATCCTACCACGGCACGATTTCATGGTCTTATGTTCAGATATTTCTTTAGTGTCCGCATTTTTTTTTACTATTTTTGTGCACTAGTTTTTGTACTCATCTATGAATTTAATAGGTCGAAATGTCCATTGCACGTAAGAGAATTAGAATTTATTTTCCAATTATTAGTTAGTTTACAATCACATTTGGTGTAAAAGCGTCAATGAGAATATGTACATCAGTAAATAGATGGATGGGTGTTTAAACGGCTGGTAAAATAAAAATACTTTTTTACTACAGAGTTGCTATCAAAATTACTAGTATTATTGTTATAAAAACGGTTATGGCATTTGTAAGTACGCTCTGACTGTTGAAGTGACCGAATGTCAGTAATTGGTTATATAATGTAACTGATTGTTAACGGCTCATAAGACTAAATTTATTTACATTACTAACGACTTCTAGATGATCGATAACCGGAATTATTGAACGATTCATTTTTGATTGTTCTGTTATTAAATTTAATTAAATGAGACAGTTCTTCATGTACAAACTTATCACACTCAATAAACTTGCATAATGTAACCAATCATTGTTAAAAGACATAGAATGGCTTTTAAAAATTTGATGAATTTCGGATAACGACCAGATTTTTGTATATAATCTTACGTTATATATTTTAAGCTAACCAACTAGGGTCTTTTTGATCTACCTTTCACGCTGTTCGGCAGTCATTAGTTATCCACAACCTTGAAGATACTTTTGCTTCTATTGAAATCGTCGCCTAAAATACCCTGCACTTCTGTATAAGTTGTTATTAATCAATAAACCACGGTGGTTGCTTATTTGGTCATATTATGCTGGTAAGGGTAGGATTTATAAAGATGATTTGTTGATAGGTACTAACAAACTCAACTTCAAACTGAGTCAAACCATTGATGACATCAGATCACCCAAGGTTGAATAGTATGTCCCAATATCATAACATTTAGTACTAAGGCTGATGTCACCATGTGATTAACCAACTCATGATTTTGTTATTTTGAATTTACTTAAACCCTGATATAATAAGATTAAATTTATTTATCCTATCATAAATTTCTCTGTTGATCTTTCAAATGAAGCCTTCCAAGTCTTCTCTTCGTTGGACCGAATTCTTTTCACACTGGCCATTATGGGCAATTTACGTCGCTCATTTCAGTATGAACTGGTCAAATTATATTGTAATGCTATGGCTACCTACCTACTTAGTCCGTTATCTGGGAGCTACTGAATACGTCATAATGCTAACAGCTATACCTTATGTATGTAACTGTATTGGGAGTGTTAGTAAGTCTATATTTTTAACTATTATGTAGGCTCTCTTAGTCTTTATGAATGTTTACGTTATACATGCTTAAACATGTAAGAACTTGCGATTCAAGAGAGGTCAGGGATGAATCCCGCATTTCTAAATCACGTTAACATACTAGTAACCGTTTAGCGTGGAACATCCTTCCCAAGAAACGTTTCCTCATGTACTCTCCTACTTGTTTTAAGAGTCAGAGGTCTGAAATTTACTCTTAAATTACTCCATATCTTCCTGTCTAATGGGTTTTAATTACTTGTCGGATCTTTTGAATTACGAAATAAACTTTAAAATTCTATCTGCGATTGCTATCAGATGATCATTAATTAATTGTTCACTCGTCTAGATATGCCGACCAAGTAGCTTTATTTGGTTTTATGTATTTCAGAAACAAGTAAAGCGATTCGAATATTTCTATTACTCACTCTCAAGCAACAGAAGGGCTCCGTTAAAATCGTATCGTTTTACCTCTTACCCTTTTCGAATATCACTTACATAACCAACACTTCTAACGTCTGTTTTTGTTTCCACTAGTGATGCTGGCGGTTAGGTTTTATAGGATAACATCCCTAGTCCCAATTAATTGGATATAAGCGCATTTGATTTATGTACCTCGTGTTAAATCAGACAATAAACCTCTTTTACAGAGGTCAATATTAAGTGCCACCAGTTTGTATTGTTTCCAAAGCATATTAAGATAATCGAAGTCTTTTTCCTTGTTTTACCAAGTTAGTTGGGTGAGATTCCACAATTCCCCCTACAATCGTATCAAGTAATTCATCTGCATCAATAGTTAAAGGACAAAAATGTTAAAGCCAACTAAAAACCACACTGTAAATAAATTTCTGTAAAATATTCTGAGTAAGATAAAGAAAGAGTTCAGAATGATTTCAAACTATGTTATCTAGGATTTTCACTCTCTGATTGTAGAGACTTTCATAATGCTTACCATTCTCCACACATTTCAGATCAGTGATCGATTGGTGGAATGCCTTCACGTACGAAATTTCCTAACGCCCAAATGCCCTAGTACGGCCGAGGGTGGGGAGAGTCAGCTCTCCATCTCGAAATGTTCTCACATGGTCATGTGTATACATCCATTACCAGGGAAGTCCTACTCACTACCTTCCCGCTGCGGGGATGTTGTTTACAAAATTGACGGGACGAAAAGCGAATGTCCGGCGCTTTAACCGGGTTGGTGGATGTGAAGGATCCACCTAGGGAGTTGGAAAACTCTGATTCCAAACGAATGGTGCACATGGGCTCCAGGATCCTGAGGGAACAAGTGGCATATGAGCTCATTGTTGGCCACCAGCTACCATGGGAATGCATTCCTCACGATGCTCCACTGCCTTGTGGATTAAACCTTTAGGTCAAATGTTCGGGGTGTAGCCTCCTAAGGAAACCACCTGCTTTAGTTTGGGCACCTGGGCAGTATTACAGCCCGTACACAAATAAAATGAAATGACAAAAATTACTGAAAATACTATTCTCGTTTCAATTAAAAGTCAGACAACTCACATTTATTTTTCTTTCCTTTTATATACTACGCCACTTATCTAATCTCTTATTTCCACTTTGTGTATCCTTATTTTTCAAATTATACAGCAACTCGCCTGTTGTGGAAACCCTGTTCCATCTAAACGAACTGAAGTCACTGACTAACCGAAAGTTGAATGCTACCGCCGAATACAAATACTGAAACAGTCTTTCTTAATCTACGTACACCATTCAAACTGGCTTCCTTCAATGTTCGCACATTAATGCAGATCGTACAACAGATAGGGCTTGCTATGTTTTTAGAAAGTATTTATTTTATTTATTTAAACACATGCATATTGGTACAAAAGGGCACCAGATACATATGCGCCACACGTCTGTTGTCTATCATAGACCCGTATTCAAGACTCTAATGAAGTACTACAAATTCGCTCTCTATCTGTCGCTTCGAAAAGCTTGTTTTACATGCGTTTATCAGGGAAGCCCGTGGCATCTTCGTCTGCTTTAGATGGTGTTGGTGTCTCACTAAGCGCTAGAGCTGAGGCAACACTAATCGATTGGATCCCCATTAACATTCGGTTATGTGCTGTTAGATTAGAAAGTCCCATCAAAATAAAATGAAATCGGTGTGAAAAACGATGTATTTTCGTCATCGCCTATGCTCCGACAGTTTTCAGGCCGGATACGATCAAGGATGGATTTTACCCCCAGTTAACAGTTCTTCTGCAGAAAGTGCGTTTGATAGATATTGTAGTACTAGCCGGAGACTTGAATGCACAGGTCGGGCGTCTAGGCACAGGAGAGAGTGGTTTATTTGGCCGATGTGGACTTGTTGGTCGCAGGACGGATAACGGGGACCGCATATTGCAACCGTGCACAGACCACAACCTGTATCTGGCTTGCACTAACTTCCGACACAGTCATCACCGATGTGCCACCTGGCGTCCTACCTCTGCATCTCAAGCCTGGACTCAGATTGATCACATCGCGATCAGGTACCACTGGCGTGGTTGTGTACAAGACTGCCGCTCTTTTTCGAGTACCTAACTGGAGTCTGATCATGCCTTGGTCTGCGCCAATCTCACCTTACTTTTCAGTGGCCAACGAATTGATCGTCACCAGTGGATTGATGTCAGTAAATTGGTTGCTGCTAAGTGTCGAATCGAGCTGGATTCTAGACTAGCTACCATCCCACCGAAAAGTATAGATGAGCATTGGTGGCAATTGCATGACGCCATGAAAATAGTGAGTAAAGTCGCTTGCAGCTTCGCAAAACGTCCCGCTTATAAACACTGGGTTTCTCCAGGCTCCTTACAACTTATGAAAGCCCCTCAGTCTACTCTGGGTGACCGTGAGTTTGATCACAAACGACGACTGTTACGTAATGAAATTAGGCAAAGCTTGCGTAACGACTGAGAAGCCTGGTGGTTGGAGCGTGTCAATAAGTTGGAAGCAGCAGTTGCATCTGGTAACTGTTGCAAGCTCTTTCAAATCATCCGAGCCACTGGCAGCAAGAAGTCTGATGTGAGTGAAACAATCTGTAAAGATGATGGGATGCCAATCACTGACATCTATCGACGTCTTGAACGATGGGCAGTTTTTCGAGTGGTAGTTCAACTAGTTTGATACCCCGGCAACATCGTTTAGGCTGTCCTACCCACCATGGCCTGTGATGACTGATCCACCAAATGAAGTGGAAGTCCGCAAGGAACTCCAGCTCTTGAGGCGCTACAAATCATCAGGCCCAGATGACCTACCTCCGACCCTTTTTAAAGATGATGGTGAATTTCTGGTTAAAGAACTGACTACGTTATTTACAAAGCTTAGGGAGTTAGAGAGTGTTTCGAATATCATAGGATGGATCAATAGTTGTCCCTATCTTTAAAAAAGGGTTCACGTCGTTTCTGCAACAACTGTCGGGGGATAAGTCTAATTCCTATTCCGTCTAAACTATTGGCTCATATCATACTTCGTAGGTGCCCCCAAATGCCCTGGTACGGCCGAGAGTGGGGAGAGTCTACTCTCCCTCTCGAAATGCTCTCACATGGCCAGCGAATATATAGCCTCTGCAGGGAAGTCCTACTCACTGCCTTCTCGTGGCGGGGATGTTGTTTATGAAATTGAGAGCACGAAAAGCGAATGTCCGGCGCTTTAACCGGGTTGGTGGATGTGGAGGATCCACCTAGGGGAGTTGGAAACCCTGATTCCAAACGAATGGTGCACATGGGCCCCAGTATCCTGAGGGAGAAAAGGGCGTACGAATCAATCGTTGCTATGTTTTTAGAAAGTATTTATTTTATTTATTTAAACACATATATATTGGTACAAAAGGGCACCAGGTACATATGCGCCACACAAAAATTGGGGATAAAAGGGGGTGAGTTAGCGATATGGTAAATAATAATAATAAAGGTAATAATAATAATAATGTTAATTGTCTTGCTTTTAGTATGACCAGGGATATTATCGTCAATAGAGTTCATAATTTCATTCATTTGTGTGTGGGCTGTGATACTGCCCGGGTGCCCAAACCGAAGCAGGTGGTTTTCTTAGGGGACCACACCCCGAGCCTTTGACCTAAAGGTCTGATCCACAAGGCAGTGGAGCATCGTGAGGAGATGCAGTCCCATGGTTGCCGTTGACCAATGACAGGTTCTTCCGCCATTCGTTCCATCAGGATACTGGAGCCCATGTGCACCATTGGTTTGGAATCAGGGTTTTCCAACTCCCCTAGGTGGACCCTCCGTGTCCACCAATCCGGTTATAGCGCCGGACATTCGCTTTTCGTCCTCTCACTTTCGTAAACAACACTCCCGCCACGAGAAGGCAGTGAGTAGGACTTCCCTGGCAGAGGCTATATATTCGCTGGCCATGTGAGAGCATTTCGAGAGGGAGAGTAGACTCTCCCCACTCTCGGCCGTACCAGGGCATTTGGGGGTTGATCACCGGCTACCATGGGACTGCATCTCCTCACGATGCTCCACTGCCTTGTGGATCAGATCTTTCGGTCAAAGGCTCCGGGTGTGGGCCCCTAAGAAGACCACCTGCTTCACTTCGGGCACCTGGGCAGTATCACAGCCCTCAAGCAAATCGAATGAGATTTGTATGGCGCATATGTATCTGGTGCTTCCTTGTACCAATATTTATGTGTTTAAATAAATTTAAATAAATAAATAAATACTTCGTAGGTTGTTCAAAACTCGAGAAAGATTGACTCGCGAAGAGCAGGCTAGTTTCCGTTCTGGTCGAGGATGTATTGATCATATCTTCACCCTCCGTCAAATGTTAGAATACCGTAATTCCTATCACAAGCCAACAATCGTAGTGTTTCTTAACGTCAGGGCTGTTCTCTGAGATTGTCTATTGGAGAAGGGTGTGCTTGAGAAGTTTATTAACAATTTAAGAGCCCTATATACAAACACCTCAGATAGATTCAGGGCATACAACCACCTCTCTCCATTGTTCCATTCAAGCAGTGTGGTTAGACAGGCTTGTCTAATCTCACCATTCCTCTTCAACTTCGCTATGGATGACTTTCTAGAAACAGCTCTGATGGATGTGAATCTGTTGTTTGGAGAAAGACTTCCTGACCTTGATTATCCTGATGATATCTTACTGTGTGATGATACCTAAGCCATGCAATCCGCACTTAATCAGTTGGCCGTCGATGTTCGTGGGTATGGCATATGCTTTGAACCTTCTCAGTGCAAATTACTTTTACAAAACTGTAAGGATCCTGAACCTGCGCTCACCGTGGATAGTGAGCAGATAGAAGTAGTCGAGGATTTCATGTATCTGGGTAGTTGCACAAGTGCTGTTGGTGGCGTGAGTGATGAGATCGATTCACGTATAGTGAAAGCCAGGGTAGCTTATGCCAATCTGGGCTATCTTCGGTGATGTTAGTCTGACTGTAAAAGGTCGGATCTACAACGCGTCGGTGAGAGCAGTTTTTCTCTGTGCTTATTAAACCTGGACTCTCCGAGTTGAGGATGTTAGACGACTCTGTGTTTGATCATCGTTGTCTCCGAAGGAGTGCCGATATCGAGTGGCAATACCATGTTAGTAATGCAGAGGGGTTCGGCATCGTGTGTTCGGGCACAGCGACGATAATCTAATTGGTGTCACCATCTTGAAACATCTACTTCGATGGCTTGGACATGTTTTACGAATGTCGTCCCTGAGAATTCCACGTCGTGCATTATGGTAACAGTGAAGTAAAATAAACATAGGTATTAAAAATAATTATTTTTACCAGGGAAACTAATAATAGTTTTATTGTTAAGGGTTTAAGTATTCATCATGAAGATAAATGAAGAAATTATAATTGGAAAAGGATAGCTCAACATGGTAAGATAAAATGTTCAAATTGAGACGAAATCTAATCAAGAAGATTATAGAAACAGAAACAAAGCAGTTGGGAGTAGCTATTTTAATTATTATCTTCCTGAAAAATAAGTATATATATATTTGCTATTGAACGGCTTTGAAAATGAATTCGCTGAAAAGAGAACTCGCTAAACCAATCTTTCTTATTTAATGTCTCAATGGCTATATTTCGTTTACTTAATTTCCTTATCATCTATAAGCTTACAGGTAAATGTTTGTTGGTGAAATGTATATTTCAAGTATATCCTAGGCGATGGCATACTGTGTGCTGTTAGGTTGAATGTTTCATCAATAAACCTACATGAGGACTCCAATACTACTTAGGCTCCAAAGCTATAACGATTATTCTAAAAGTATCATCTAATTTTTTCATCCACAAAAGAAAGCCAACATCCAAAGTTACGTTTTCACTGTAGCTACTTACTGAATCAAGTTCCTAATTAAAATCTAGCCATCCACTTTCATGAGAGGCACTGCATCTGAAGGCGAAATTGTAAATTTCCTTGATCTACTTATTCAAATTTATCTATCGTAAAAGATATTTTGTTTTTTACGCTAAATCGATTCTTTCCTTTCAGTCGCCGGACGGCTAGCGAATTGCTTAACCAAACGGCAGTTCACTATACTAACTGTTCGACGCTTAATGTCATCTATTGGTCTTCTTGGTCCAGGTGTGGTACTTTTTTTGTTTTCTCTATCAAGCAGTGTAACATCAGCTATTGTGTGAGTTCTTTAATTTTTATTTGTAATTTTCTCGTTATCTCTTGAATATTGAATTGGAATGGCGTTTTGCAACACTCCTTCAAGTAGGGAGTATCTAAATAAATCTGCTTGGCAATACTACAGTTAGATGACTTAATGTTGGAAAAGTTGCAACTTGACAACATTATCATCAATAAGTCTTCTCTGTAGTTCATTCCATTATTAGATTAATCACTATCTTAATAGCTTTACCAATATCCTTTTTGTATTTAATTGATACTCTTTAAACTAAGACATGTTTTCAAATTTCCCAGCAAGCATGTGACGTTGATCCATAATTTTCTTTCAACTCCACCCTAAATTCCTGCACTAGTTGCAATGAACTACCACATGATCTCGCTCTTTTGATTGTACGCTTCGGTGATGTTATGCTTTCCCCAATGTTATTAAATTATTTTCGTTGTCATAGTCCATGTAAAGCTGTTATTTAGTATCTGCCATCCATGTATCGCGCTCATCGGCTATTTTATTATGCATATGTATTATTTGGTACTGACGGTTATATCAATTTTATCTATATATATTCAATGTAAAAGTTAAAAACACTAAGTTTTTACTCGTAACATCATTTCTAACTATTTCTTATACATTCTTAGTTTCCATTGAAATTTATGGTTACTTGTTACGGGTTCTATTCTTTTCTGCTAAATACGCTTAAAAATTATAGTTTTGTTGCAAGGAAACGTATAGTGGTCAGAACTGTTTTGTTAATCAACAAAAATCAACATTGAAGATTATCACAAATAATCGGGTTTTTCGTAGAAATAGTGAAATAGGCTACAATAAATGGTAAAAGGTTGGGTTGAGTTAAAACTAGTGAACGAGCTAACGTTTAACTTTGCGCCACTGAAGTTAATTTTAAGGTGCGCCTAAATCTTCCTGCATCGAATAATAATGTGTTTTAGTTTGAATATTGTGATGCTTCCTGGCATATTCCTACTCCAAAAAGCACTAGAAACCTTTATTTTAGATAGGTGGTTGTGGGTTCGTGACCTGTTATCGAACCATATCGATGTCTAAAGGCTTACAACACCACAAATGTATCATATTTACCCACAACAGTGTATTCACCACAACGGTATTGATGTTAAGATATCGCTAGTTCAGTTACTCACAGTATTCTGATTTCATCCATTCACATTCTTTGACCACATCGTATTGCTTTTCAGAAGGACGGTTTTCGCTACTAATCTCTGCGTTTTATTTTGCCTCTTTGCTTCTAAAGTCGGCGTAATCTGTGGAATATCAAACGATCTCTGTGTCCTCTCATCGAAATATCGATGGAATTCATTTTCACTACGACACCCCGAACTACTCGTCCAAATAAGTAACTTTCAAAATCCATTCTTCACTTCATAATCCTTTATGGCTCCTTTATAGGCAGCCTGAATATTTTCTTAAGGTTGATGGCGATTACCCACTAATAGCTATAACATTGTTCTTTTTTGAAGGGGACGTTAATATTCATTTTCCAGTAGCACTTGGTGAAACTTAGTGATGATGTTACGTTCTGCAATTATTCAAGGGGAAATGCAAATTCTTCAAGTTTGGTGTAACTTGTGTCCAAGTACATTATGGGAAATAAGCGAATTTTTGCAATGTGATACTTTGGACACCAGGTTTTGAATTGAGATTTAATCTGTGTAAAAGCCAATGAAGTGTGTTTCATTCAAAACGTGAAGATGACCAGTCAAATTCAAGCTGGGAGGAATGAGTTATTTGTATTTATAGGAAACTCGTCGTTCATGAGGTTGTAATGAAGCGTGATGACATTATAGTTAAAACATCTGATCCGAAAGACTCCTTGACGGAGAAATTTTATTACAATTCTGACACTAACATGCAATCGTATATGCGTAAACCTACAGTCATTTAGTTTTCACCGGAGTATGTGAATCTGATCTAAAGATAAAAATAAGGTAAATCTACAGTACTTCATGGGTATGCTTGTCCTTATATTCCTGTGTGCAATATGTATGATTCATTTAAACAGAAACTTGTTTTTCCCTTTTGTCTTAGGAAAATGTAGCGTGATACCGAGATTTTCTTCGATAAACATGAAATATTATCAGGTGTTGACTTTTTTAGGGGACTGAATTGAATGAATATTCTCATAGAACGTTCCTATGAATTACCGTTGTGTTGTCAGTTGGTATTCCCTATCATTTATGAGTAATTACTTCTAAATTATGATTATTATTTCACTGAGTATAAACTGCAAAATGTCGGTACAGAAGTGGTTTGAATCTGCTTTCGTCTGTAGCTTTAAGATTTGTACAATATTCTTTTGTTATATTTTCCAATTGTTTAAATTTGTGCATATCATTGAAAATTGTTTTTTTCTTTAGTCAATATTATTTGTTAGTCTTAATTGTTTAGAAATTAATACTGACATAAGCTTCAACATAAATGTAGATAAAAATATGTAAAAGCCTTCCTGTAAAGAAATTTCAGTTTTTGAGAGTTCATAGGAAAATGATTTATCTTTTATTCAGTCCTTAAAGTGAATAAAAATTAGCTCAGTAAATTAGATGCAAATGCATGTAATGACTGTGGATCCCGCTTAGTATACTTGTTGTAAACCGTCACTGAATTATGTATTCTTAAGTAAGGTAAGTTTCATTATCACATCTTATAAAAAGATGCATATTATTAGATAATTTGATTACTTGTCATGAAATGGTGTTTTGTTGGTGACTTACCGCAAAACCCATCTAATCGAATTCAGGACTCATTTTCTGTAGCTTTGCCACTAACATCAGCAGTAAATTTACCTAACAAGTTTATAAGGTTATCGTTTACCATATATCATTCATGATATAGTTGTCAATGTAAAAATATTATGAGTGTATTGTATTTTTCATATTCTTTTTTCGGTCTTTTATTTTGATTCAACTCATTTAATTTAGCCTGATTTCTGTGTCCATGACATTTTCCGCCTTCAATTCTGCTGGACATTTATGTAATCATGTAGAGGTTGCACCTAATTATGCAGGCACCACATTTATCATAAGCAATATTTTGGTGAGTATCATTAACTTTTATTTCGTTTCATTGGAAACTGATTCAGACTTATCTATTCAATACTGTGGTATGTTTTCTTTGGTATCTTCCATGTTGGTAAGTTATGTATTCATCAAAGTTTATCGTTAATTGCAGTAGGACTTAGCCTATTAACATAAAAAATTAGTACTACGATTTAAAAGGATCGAAAAAGCACAAGAGATTTAAACCATTAAATAGCGGGTTAATGGAGCTTGAATAAAAGTGATGATTGGTTTTTTATTGCTCTCTGTATTGATTCTCATTATTCCCACTCATTATCGGACAGATAGAGTTCAATTCATTCCGTTCCTCTTAGATGTTAACGTAATGACACTTCATAATCAAGGAATATTTTACTGCGCTTATTAGATCGTCGACTCAATAACTAATACTGTTACAGCCATGTGTAAGAGATCGATTAAACATTTCTCCGTTAGATTATTCAAGCATATTAATCTCATACTATCTTAGAAGATATGTTTAAAAATCTCAAGTTTGATGGTTTGTATTTTGTGTAAATGTTTTTAGAAAAGATATAAAGTCCACCTACGTGCTTTAATAGTAGAATCTCGAAATTATTTTTTCTTAAGAAGTGAAATTGAAATCTGTTACTTCTTGCATAATTATTTTATAATTAGTTAGTGTTTATACTCAAGAAGAAATATATCAACAGAAGTATTGTGTCCTAAACATATGTTGGCATCAGATGACGTTATGCAAATTAGATTAGTTTTGGAATATAAATAATTCTCATATAGTCGGCTTTTAAGAAGTAAGGTAAACAGTCCTCTACATACTGTTACTTACTTACTTACTTAAAGCAGTTCTCTACATGCTTTGATGTAACTCCCGCTACAATTGATCGTAAGAATAGAATGTTTAAAATTCGATTAAATTATATATTTGAGTCGTCCACCTGATCATCCTCCAGTGAAGTTTTCTTCTTTGTATCATTCTCAGCGAGATTATTATTCACCTTCAGTAAAAATCTATGTAGGGACTTGAAATAAAGCTCATACCGTTGTACGAAATGAAGTTAAATAGAACATCCACCTTTCATTTTTTGTGAAAATTGATACCACTTAACTGGTTAAAAATAGAAAGCGGATAGAGTAGGTGAACGAATATCCCAAGAATTTAATATTTTGTACACTTAAATAAATCGTGAAATGACATACAGGAAGTCATTGAGTCTAATGGTCTGAACTGGTGGTCAAAAGTACTCAGTACCACATAGAACTATTTTGAAGAAAGGTGAGATGAGGTTTTGGTTTATTATTTAAGATTTCTGTACCACTGTGATTAGTAATAACATAAGTAAATACAGTTTCACGATTGAAGCCTTGTGAGTGTCCTAAGTAAATGGAAAGGACTAATTCAGTCGATTGTCGTTAAATCGCAGTATCTGATTCAACTCAGGTTTTCTTTCCACAGTGATTTTTATTTGTTAATGTACGAGCCTGTTTATTTGTTCCGTTTGTCCACATTCTTATTGTGTGAATTCCGGGCTGAATTTGTCTATGTGATAATTAATGCATAATTAGGCACCAATGTGAAGACGTGGATGAGTAACCAAATCATGTTTCAGACATAATTTCAGTAAACTAATACTTTTGATTTTATGAATTTTGAAGAATGTTATCACAGTTAACCTGCGATTAAAGTTTTGCAATGAAGTGATTCACTGCCGCTATTTCGGCGTTGATATATTCACTTTTACTTCTGGTGAATCATTTTCTCATAATATTCATCTGTTGCATTTCAAACTACACTTTTCTATGTTACTTATAGTGACCACTTGTAGCGTTTCTTACTATCTTAGCCGTATATTATCTCGGAGCACTGGTCTAAATTCTCAATAAAGTGATTCTAATTTAAATGTAATACTAAATAGTGCTTGGAAATAGTGTTTAATATAGCTAATTTTCATTTTACCTTATCGTTTATTGTATTTTCTACCATATATAGGCTACTATACCTGGAATAGTATGTGGTCCACTAACTGCCGAATTAGTTATCACATCTGGTGGAAGGTGGTTTCCTGTATTCATACTAGCTGGTTTTATAAATGTAGTTGGTGGCGTTGTGTACATTAGCCAGAGTTCTACAACGCAAGTATTGTAATCATGCGAATAATGTGTACAGTTATCCACGTACATTCACTTTTTTATTCTTTTAGCTTTGTCTTTGTATCTGAGTTTTCTATACTTTCTCTCCTCACTTACTTAATTTATCATGAACTATGCATCAAATTTACGTATCAATCATGCATAGTATCTTTACAGAGATATGGCCAAGATTTATTCATTGAATTTATTCGAATACAATTATTCACCCTTTACTGTAATGAAATCGCAATTTTTTGTTATAAATTAGTACATCAATAAATCATTGTTACTTATCCCCTGCTTTAAACAAATAATACTGAATGTTCAAAATGAATTAATACACTGGAAATATTACGTTATAGAGTTGAGGATAAAACTTAGTTTCTTATGGTTATTTTTATCGATCACAATAAAATTTGAAGTAATTGTATGACAAATAAACAAATACATGGCATAATAGTCGGCATAATTTACTGCCCAGCACGTAAGATTCTAAACAAGGATTTAGTGTTTAAAGTTTTCATTTCCGTGCTATAATTCTGTTATGAATAACCTATGAAATAGGATTTTGGCTGTGAAATCCTGCGATAAGAGACGAACCTATGAGTATACAAAGTGCCACTTAGAAACTGGGGCATTTTCTTTGATTGCACTAACAATGCGGTTTTTCACCCTCAATGTTTCCACTTTGATGCAGACCAAACAACAGATAGGTTTGGTTGTCTTCAACAGATTGGCACAAGCAGACTGGTTGTACCTTCTGTTACGATCGAATCGAGTTGGGTTCAAAGTTAGCTACTATTCTGCAGAAAAGTATAGAGCAATGGCTGTATCTAGATGACACCCTAGGAATGGCGGGTCGAGTCGCTTGTGTCTTTGCGAGACTCTCTGTCCTCTAAGGATGGACCCGTCGGTCTACTCTGGCGAATCGCAAGTTAAATGGCATTTAAATTCTTAGCTCAGAACCATTCACAATGTTTAGATAAGGAATGCGAAACCTGAAGTCCTTAGCTGACAAAAGATTTGAAAATGGCAGATGCATCTGGACCTCTCAAGAAGCTGTTTCATTTTATCTTACTCTGTGACCAGTAACCGTAGATCCACCCAACGAAGCAGAGGTCTGTTAAGAACTCCGGATTCCGGAAAGTCATCAAGCCTAGAAGATCTAATTCGAACACCTCAAGAGGTGACGTGCTTCTGGTCAGGGAAGTGACTGGCTCTTTTTAAATATATCTGCAGCACAGAGTGTTTCATCATCTGCGGATGAAGTGATCTCTATTCTCGTCTTTAAGAAGAGACTATATAGGATATGCAAAGTTTTCTAATTTCAAGTCATCGCTATTGGGGGCATCTCCCTATTTACGAAAAACTACTAATATCCGTCGTGCTTCACAATTTCTACAAAATCCGTGGATTATTGACTCATGGAGCAGGTTGGTTTTCGTTCGGGCCGTGAATGTGTTGATCACATCTTCAGCTTCCGAGAAATACTACAGCGATGCCACACTTATTGCAGGCAAATAACCATTGTCCTCTGTTATCAATTCAACCACTAATTCGTTGGGTTTTACTGTTTGGGAATTGTCTGCTAAAAAAGGGTGTACTCGAGAACTTTGTTAACATATTAAGCGCGTAAAACAGTGGAGTTAGGATTGCCCAGTTTCCTCAACTTAGCTATTGGGAATCAACCATAGTTTGACGCATGTAGTTTTCGTGAGTGTGATAACATCAGATATGATTGAGAATAGGGGCAAGTGAAAATCTTGCTGCAGTTCTATATTACATTCTCCATAAAAGCGGGATTAGCTATTTCAGGTAGAAGACTTTCGAGGTCATGTTTCTAACTAGACTATTTCCGTTCATTTATTTGTTCACAGTACTACCTTGTCCTCCATCTCTTCACAATATTTCCGTTGCAGGTAGTTGACACTATATTTTGGTTTCCTACTGTACCAGAGTTTATGTTCATTGAATAAGATAACTAGAAAAGTGTGAATTCTGATAAGATATATTGAATTTTACCATGTGAATATGCTAACGTACACCTACACTATAACATCTCAGTCAGTTTGTACTGTTGTTCCAGTAGGTGTTCAAGCTTATCAGCCACAACTTCAACTTCCGCCTCCAATTGTTGTGTCTTTTTATTGGTGTTCACTACAGCCCACAATGTTACGGATCTAGAAACGGAAACGATTAAGCTTTCCTAATACAATCGATTCTCTTTGTAACTGACAACTGTAAATTATACCTAATACACCAAACATCGACGGTCAAGACGGAATTGCAGGTAACTTGATATCTGTGGTAGAACAAGCAACTCAAATGAAATTGGTACGAAAGTCGTCGCTGTAGTAGTAGAATATGATCTTCGAGCATGTAGCAATTTAGCAATTCAGTTAAGGTGAATTTTTTATCAAGAAAATGGATGATCTGAAAACCTTATTGCAACAGCAAAATACTCTTATCGAATTATTAGTCAAAAATATGTCGATATCCTCAAGAACTGATGTGTCTAATTCCACTATGACTCCAGATTCCATTGCAAATTCAATAACTGAATTTAGATTTGATCCAGAAAGTGGAGTTACTTTTGAGGCATGGTTTAAACGCCATGAGGATTTGTTTAATAATGAATGTAAAGAGTGGGACGAAAGTTCAAAATTGAGATTATTATTACGAAAGCTCGGAGTGTCCGAACATGAAAAATTCTGTAATTTTATCCTCTCAAAAAAGCCAACCGACATAACGTTCAAAGAAACAGTTGAATGCCTGACACGTTTATATGGAGAACGGTCATCAATTTTTCACACTAGATACCAGTGTCTTCAACTTGTAAAGAAAGTACAGGACGATTACGTGACGTATGCAAGTATCGTGAACCGGGAATGTGAGCGGTTCCGATTACAGGAAATGTCCTCGGATCAGTTCAAGTGCCTTATTTTTGTATGTGGATTACAATCTCCAGTAGATGCAGATATTAGAACACGGATTCTAGCGAGAATCGAACAAGATCCTAATATCAGTCTACAATCAGTATCTGAAGAGTTTCAAAGAATAGTTAATTTGAAGCATGACACGAAACTCGTAGAAAGGAACAGTGAACACGTGGAAGTTAAAGCTTTACGTAAATCTTTTAACGGAAATAAAGATCCGAACTCCCAGAAAATCCCGAGTCAAGTGAAACACAAAACGTCATGTTGGCGATGTGGTAAGTCTCATTCTGCCAAAGTTTGTTACTTTAAAAAACGAGTATTCTTTCAATGTGGTAAATATGGTCATGCTCAAGTATGTTGTAAAAGTAAACCAAAGGTTTCTCACCGTCAGCATAAGTCCCGTAAAGAAAATAAGATACAGACTTCAAAAGTAATAGCACATAACCGTAAGTTAGAGGAAGATATAGTGGTTGCTTCTATATCAATTGAACCGGAAATAAAAAGAGTGTTCTGTGATGCCATCAGAATCCTACCAGTAACGGCAGAAGCAGTTAAAGAAGCCACGACTAGTGATCCTCTACTTAAAAGAATAAAAGCTGTTTTAAAGGGTTGGAAACAGGACAAAGCTGATCGAGAGTTTCACCAATTTTTCTTGAGACGTGAGTCTATATCGATTTATGATAATTGTTTGATGTTTGGTGGACGTGTTTTTATACCTAAATCTCTTCAGCTTTTTGTGCTTCGACAGTTTCACATTGGTCACCCGGGAATGAACAGAATGAAAGCAGTTATGCGTAGTTATGCCTATTGGCCATTCATGGATAAGGCTGTGGAAGAATACGTAGTGAGATGTCGGCGATGTGCCGAAGGTGCAAAAGATCCACCGAAGGTAGAATCCCAGTCATGGCCTGAAACGAAAAAGCCTTGGGTCCGACTACATGTTGATTATGCTGGACCAATAAGTGGACAATATTTTTTGGTGGTGGTTGATTCATACTCAAAATGGACTGAAATTTATGTGGTACGAAGACCATCTACGTCTGAAACACTGCTACATCTGAGACAACTATTTTGTAGGTTTGGTACACCTAATGTTTTGGTTTCAGATAACGGAACGCAGTTCACGTCGTTAGAGTTTACGGAGTTCTGTAAACAGAATGGAATCGAACACGTTAGAACCCCACCGTATCACCCTCAGCTAAACGGGCAAGAAGAGAAATTTGTTGATATACTGAAGCGAGCTCTCTCAAAGATGGGAGAAGGAAACGTAGAAGAGGCTCTGCAACAATTTCTCATTTCTTATAGAATTACGCCAAGTCAAAACTGTCAAGATGGGAAATCTCCAGCCGACCGATCAGAACATTTTTTTGATGTTTTGAACCCGAAAGACAGAATCAGTGGACTACAAAAAAATAAGGGAATTGCCAGAAAATTCGAGAATTCAAAGTAGGTGACTCATTCTATGCACGGGATTTCCGGCCTGGCAAGCCAAAATGGATATTTGGGTTTATAAAAGAACGACGTGGTACAGTATTATATGAAGTGATGGTCGAAAATATGCTAATTATTAGACATGTAAATGAACTGCGAGATAGAAAATGTGTTTATGAGTCATCTAAACTCAAACCATTACCAATGGAAGTATTATGTGATACATTTGATATTCCACCACCACCACAAGTTGAAATGAGAAAAAATGATCTAGAATCAGAAGTTAGACGAAGGTCATTCAGGAAACGGAAACAAACGAAATTTTTTCAAATAGACCCCAAAGTGAAATCAAACTTCGCGAGGGTGGTGATGTGTGGGCGAGAATGACAGTGATTGGTTGTCTTGATGAGGCAGACATTAGATAGGATAACAGGTGTTATGTGTTATATATATATTCCCCTATCCTTATTATGTATGGACTGTTCCTTGCTGTTGGATACTTATTGACTGACTGTTCTTTGTGTCGGGTTTTGGTGTGGAAATATATTGACGTTATAGTCAGGCTAATTTCGTGTTCTTGATCTGGGTTGTGTTGAAGTCCTGTAGAATAGACACTGGGTGGGAATCTAGTGTAGATATTCGTCTCGAT